GTGCTAAGTCTGTTAGATCAGTTCCTAAAGGCTGGTATCCTCAATGATGACCTTTGTGCTTATTCCCTGATACTTGGTGTATTTCACCTCAAATACTCTTCAAAATCTACCTTATGTTTGACTTCTTCCAGAAAATTCTTCCTGCACTAATGCACTCCAATCTTTTTTCTTCTGAACTAAAGATGCAGCACTGTCTACCATTGGATTTTCTCCTTGTTGGTTTAAAGGGTTAGGTTTAGCTTCCCAGTTAAACTCTCAGCTCCTTAAGGGCAAGGACCATATTTCACTTCTAACAGCCATCAAGGATATGAGTATGTTGAAGTTTGGATATCTTAAATAGATTATGCCAGGAAGCCCTGTTATACCTGTTGGTGGTATCATCTTGTAAGACACAATGACTGATCTATGGTTCTTTCCTCATGATTGTCATTCTCTGCAAGTAACAACAGTGTGTGTCAGGTAGATGGCTAAGGACTTTACATGGGTAACTCTAAGTCTTTAGTTCAATTCGGGTGAAAACAAGAAAGCTCAGAGAATGGAAAATAAACCTCTTTATAGAGACGTAAATTAGAAATGCCAAGTTTTGAACCTAAGCCTGTTAAATCTAGAAACTTCTACTTTCCAGGAAGCATTTTGCACTATTAAGTCTCTAAACCAATATATTCCATAGAAATCATTTTCCAAAATATACTTGGACTTGTGCTTATTCCTCTTAATCTCATTAATGACTCAATTAAAATTAAAGTATTTTTGTAACATTTTTGTGATTAGTATAATTATAGCTATTTTATAATAACAATAACATTTATTATGACTTTTTATGGGCAGGGCACTGTTATAAATATTTGCATGTATTTGCATGTATTGAGTCAGATTTTTTATTACCCCTACTTTTCTGGGATGAGGTCACTGGGTCTCTGAGCAGTTGTGTCATGCTCCTGTTCACCATTTGTGAAGAGCAAAGCTGCAATTTGAACCCACCCTATCCTGATCCAGACCTATGCTCTGAAGTACAGGGCTGACTGTCTTTCAGTAATGCAAAAACAAGGAATAATAATTCTGTGCCATGAAATGCCAACCCACTCTGTATGTCTCAATCTTTTCATCCAGGCTTTCCCCTAAGAATGGCCTTTACTTAGTTTCTGTGAAGTTCCAGGTTTAAACTATGACCTGCTCAGGGATCTAAAGCTGAACCAAAGTGCTCTGTGACTCACGTGATGTGTTGCAGCTTTTTCTGTGGTGTTCTCTGGGACTTGATCGAAGTGAAGAACCTGGAAGAGACATGAAGCGGGACAAGAAAACTTTACTCGAAAGATCTGTTTAAGTCAGTGGGTTCACAGTTACGGAAATTCCTGCTCAGCCCCCTGCGCTACCTGTCAGGCCACTACATCTATTACCATCTGCATGCAAGCCGCCGGAACCACAGAGAGAAGCTGCAACAGGACAGCGTAAGAAGCTGATACCTACCTTGTTAATTTGTTGTGCAGTGTTGTCTTTGGCCCCTAAGAGGACCATCCCCAATGCTGTTGTGATGCTGATAGGGGAATAGAAGGTGTTGTTCTTTTGTGATTTTCTGAACTGTTGGAACAGATCGAACATGAACTTGGTGTTGGCTTCACTGAGTGAATTCATGGTGAACTCGATGTGATCTGGACTCCTGGAAAAGCATCAGATTCCTGTCAGAATGACTTTAATAAATGCAGTGATATTTTGTAGTATGATTTTCTTAAAGAAATGACATATCTGGGTTGTGAGATTTTGACATTTAAAGTTTTTCTTTTCTTATTTTTAGCATTTCAATCTTTCTACAATGTGCTTATATTGAACATATTAATGTCCTAATTAAGAGGCTCACAAAATTACTGTTTTTAAAGACTATTGCAAATAAGTAATAGACCCTCTTTATCTTTCCTTCATTGCTGGTTACACTGGGGCCAGGTAGGAAGGCTTTATAATGAATGCTAACAGGAGACCTCTGTGGATCACATCCAACCAGCTCTTAAGAGGAATCCCTGACATCTCCTTCAAGGCTCTATGGCTGCAAGGCACTCTCCCTCTGTGTTCCTAAAAGTGCACTGGTTTACTTGGAATGAAACAATTTAGATAAAGGACAAATCAGATGAAATAGGTATTTTAATTTTGCCCTGGCAGAATAAGTAAAACATAATCAGACAGAATGCAGGAGATGCATAATATAGAACACAGTGTCATTATTATTCTCAAAAATAATTCATGTTATTAAGCTGGAGTGGCTTGAAGCACTTACCTGTATTCCTAGAGGAAGCAGAGGTGCACGGAGAGCCTGTGTGTGTTTGTGGAATGAAGGGTGAGATCCTGAATTTATGCCTCTCCTCTTGCTGCCTCTCCCTCTGTGGTTAGCATTTGAAGTTACTCAACTTTAGATTTCACAAGCAGGCTAACACTCACCTTTATGAGTATGAAAATTTATGACAAAGGACATGATTACTGTTCTAACATTGTACTTCCTTTTTAATCTATAGGGAAAAAATAAAAATGCAAATCAGCAATCACTGGCTCATTTGAAATACCTGTAGGTACCTTTCTAATATAAATGAGAATAAGGTTAGAATTTCAATTTCCCCTCATTTGTTTCAACTCCATCCCTTTGTATTCTACTCCAGCTGTAAAACACACAAACAAAAAAACCAAAAAAAAAAAAAAAAAAAAAAAAAAAAAAAAAAAAAAAAAAAAAAAAAAAAAAAGAACAAAAAAACCCCACTATTCTTTTCTTGGATGTTGCATTGTCTTTTAGGCATACTTTGAATACCAAACAACTAAAAAGCTTACATTTCCTGTTTTTCAGTTCTGAAAGTTTTTGTTATCCCATGGATTTCTTAGTAATTATCTGTATAACAAGGAATATAGTGCTAATTCTAAGTCCAAAGAGATACTGAAGAAGTGTACCTCAGTATCTCATAGTATACTATGAAGAACAGGATTCTATTGCCTTCTCCTGAATGCTGCCTTGGCAGTGATCCTACAGTCAACTCCCGTGCCCCTTACAACCATCCCAGATGTTTTCGGTTGCATAGAGTCAGTGAGAAAGTTATTTACCTTGCTGAGTGATATGGTTTGGCTGTGTTCCCCCCCCACAAATCTCAACTTGAATTGTATCTACCAGAATTTCCACATGCTGTTGGAGGGACCCAGGTGGAGGTAATTGAATCACGGGCACCTGTCTTTCCTGTGCCATTGTTTCCAGAGCCTTGTACTTCATTCTTCCCTTTCTTGAGACCCTGGAAATCAGGAATCCACCTCCTGTTTCTATGGATTTGCCTATTCTAAACATTTCATATAAATGGAATCATACAGTACGTCCTTTTGTGACTGGCTTCTTTGATCTAGTATTGTTTTCAAGGTTTGTCCATGTTGTTGCGTGGATCAGTCATCATTCCTTTTTGTGGTCGAATAATATTCCATTGTATGAGTACACCACATTTTCTTCATGCATAAGTTGATGGACATTTGTGTTGTTTCCATCCTTTCACTATTATGAATAATGGTGCTTTGACCTTTCATGTACATTTTGTCTGCATGGCATATGTCTTCCTTTCTTTTGAGTATAAACCTATGAATGAAACCGCTGGGTCATATGGTAACTCTAGGTTAACATTTTGAGGAAATGCCAGACTCTTCTCCATAGAATTCTACACAAGTGTGCATTCCAACCTACCGTGAATAGAGTTCTGATTTCTCCACATCCTCCCCAACACTTGGTATTGTCATGGGCCCTTTTTAACACCAGCAGTGAGTTTGTTTTCTCAGCACATCACAAAATCAAGGGAGAATCATCTACAACAAGGTTCCAGAAATACATAGGATGGAAATAGGGGCTGGACGGGAGAAAGGAAGCTGTGTTTCCAATCTGAACGTTTCTCACCTGCCTGTTTCCCCAATCTCCAAGACATACTCTTCTTAGGTCTCCTGTATCAATACATATGTTTCGAGTCTCTGAATGAGATTGGGAGGCATAAGTTCCCTGATTTAAGTTGGGGAATAGACTAATGGGGTGTTGATGAACTAAAAAGTCCAAAGATAGAATAAATAAATAAATAAATAAATAAATAACAATAAATAAAATGTTCTCTATAATTTGTAAGTTAACACAGCTGAGAAAACTTTACAGCCTTCATAAGGAAGTGAGGTCCAGGAAAATCTAGGAGATGTTTCTTAACCAATCTATAAAGGCATTAGTAATGACAGGAGATTTCCTGAAAGTGTAATTTCCCATTGAGAATTTGTTTTTAATTTCTGGATTCTGGAGCCAATGAAGTTGATGTATGTTTATGAAATGCCAAGAGACATAAGTTGGCAAGTGTTCATATGCAAAAACTTCTTAGAATTCCTGAGTTCTCTGTCACAATATATGACATCAGGATATGTCCCGTGTCACACATCAGGATATGTCCTATCTAGCTTCCCTATCACACACCAGGAGCAGTTTTTAGGAACAGAAAAAAATGCCTGAAATGATTTCTCATTTGAATTCATCCAAGCCTTCTCTAAATTTAAGCCAACTCCTGGTCATTTTCAGTTAGTACCTTTCCTCAAGTTCCACCTTCATGACAAACCTCAGCATCTCAGAAGATTTAACCATAGTCTGAAATTCTCTTCCATAGGTAGGTCCCCTGTAGCCCCAGTTTATCTCAGCTTGTTATCCTGCTTTTTTTCCCTCCATTCCCAGGATGAGCTTCTTGCTTCTGTCTTATGAGATGTTAGATTCCTTCTGTTTGGTACCCAGGTAAACCCATCTTAATCCATATAGAGGAAGGTCCATGTTTGTCTTATAGCCCTGGATGCAGATTCAGCTGAGAAGACCATTATTCATTTTTGGAATTCTTCATCTCATATATTTCCTCTTGTTTCTTTTTCTTCTATCTTTGGACCTTTTAGTCATCAACACCCCATTAGTCTATTCCCCAACCTAAATCAGGGACCTTATACCTCCCAATCTCATTCAGAGATTCAAAACATATGTATTGATACAGGAGACCTAAGAACAGCATGTCTTGGAGGTTGGGGAACAGGCAGGTGAGAAACGTTCAGATTAGAAACACAGCTTCCTTTCTCCCGTCCAGCCCCTACTTCCATCCTATGTATTTCTGGAACCTTGTTGTAGATGAATCTCCCTTGATTTTGTGATGTGCTGAGAAAACAAACTCACTGCTGGTGTTAAAAAGAGCCCATGACAATACCAAGTGTTGGGGAGGATGTGGAGAAATCAGAACTCTATTCACAGTAGGTTGGAATGCATACTTGTGTAGAATTCTATGGAGAAGAGTCTGGCATTTCCTCAAAATGTTAACCTAGAGTTACCATATGACCCAGCGGTTTCATTTATAGATTTATACTCAAAAGAAATGAAGACATATGCCATGCAAAAAAAAAAATGTTCATGAAAGGTCAGAGCATCATCATTCATAATAGTAAAAAGATGGAAACAGCACAAATGTCCATCTAGTTATGAACAAAGAAAATGTGGTCTATTCATACCATGGAATATTATTCGGCCACAAAAAGGAATGACGTGCTGATCCATGCAAGGACATGGACAAACCTTGACAATAATACTAGATGAAAGAAGCCAGTCACAGAAGGACAAATACTGTATGATTCTATTTATATGAAATGTTTAGAATTGGCAAATCCATAGAAACAAGAGGTAGATTTGTGGTTTCCAGGGTCTCGAGAGAGGGAAGAATGAAGTACAAGGTTTCTTTTGGAAGTAGTGAAATTATTGTGGAATGAGATGATGATGGTGATAGCACAACTTTGTGAATGTACTAAAAATCATTGAATTGTACAGTTGAAAATGGTGAACCTGATGGTAGATAAATGACATGTTAATAAAAAGGGGAGTTCACAAAAGAAAACCAGCCCTCTATTCTGGTGGTCAGGGAGATATTGGATTAAATGGCCTTGGACAACAACCCTCTCTCTGGCCACAGACATTCTTCAGATTACAAGATATTCCAGGGAAAACACTGGAATGAGTCTGAAGCCAGGTGCTAAATAGTAGGACCACTGAGCAATGTTGTGATCCTGACAGTTCAAACAACTTATTTTTCTGCTTCATTTTTAAATGAAAAATTTAAAAACTGCCATTCAAAATGGCCCGTTTGTTTCAATTGTTCTTCTCAGTGTTAGCCTGTTAACTCAGTGTATTAGTCTGTTTTCATGCTGCTGATAAAGACATACCCAAGACTGGCAAGAGAAAGAGGCTTAATTGGACTTACACTTCCATGTGATTGGAGAGGCCTCCGAATCATGGTGGAGGCAAAAGTTATTCTTACATGGTGGCAGCAAGAGAAAATGAGGAAGAAGCAAAAGAAAAAAAACCCTGATAAACCCATCAGATCTCCTGAGACTTATTAACTATCACGAGAATAGCACAGAAAAAGACCGGTCCCCATGATTCAGTTACCTCCACATGGGTCCCTCCAACAACACGTGGGAATTCTGGTAGATACAATTCAAGCTGAGATTTGGGTGGGGACACAGCCAAACCGTATCACTCAGCAAGGTAGATAACTTTCTCACTGACTCTATCCAACAGAAAACATCTGGGATGGTTGAAAGGGGCACGGGAGATGACTGGCAGGATCACTGCCAAGGTAGAGCATTCAAGAGAAAGCAATAGAATCCTGTTCTCCATAGTATGCTATGAGATACTGAAGTACACTTCTTCGGTATCTCTTTGGACTTAAAATTAGAATTATATTCCTTGTTATACAGAAAAATAACTAATGAAATGCATAGGATGACAAAAACTTTCAGAACTGAAAAACAGGAAATGTAAGCTTTTTAGTTGTTTGGTGTTCAAAGCATGCCTTAAAGACAATGCAAAATCCAAGAAAAGAATGGCCCTTTTTCTGTGTTTGTTTTGTTTGTTTTCTTTTCTTTTTTTTTTTTTTTAACATCTGGAGTTGTATACAAAGGAAAGGAGCTGAAATTAATGAGAGGAAATTGGAATTCTAACCTTATTCTCATTGGCAATAGAAAGTCACCTACATTATTTCAAATGAGCCAGTGATTGCTGATTTACATTTTCATTTTTTCCCTATAGATTAAAAAGGAAGTACAATGGTAGAACAGTAATCGTATCCTTTGTCATAAATGTTCTCACTCATCAAGGTGAGTGTTAGCCTGCTTGTGAAATCTCCTCTCCACAGAGGGAGAGGCAGCAAGAAAGTCACCTACAGGTATTTCAAATGAGCCAGTGATGCTGATTTGCATTTGCATTTTTTCCCTGTAGATTAAAAAGGAGTGTTAGCCTTCTTGTGAAATGTCTTCTCCACAGAGGGAGAGGCAGCAAGAGGAGAGGCATAAATTCAGGATCTCACCCTTCATTCGACAGACACAC